TTTTATTGAGCAGCGCGATCTCTTTGAATCGAAACTTTGCCGCCTTTTTCACTCGTTGTTGAATTAATTTTCCGTGTTGTTATACTTTCTTCGTGTCGAAATATCAAATATTTGACGATCGTTCGCTTATTACGACGAGGCAAATGAAGTGTGCCGGCTTCGCCAACGCGCGGGAACGTTGAACTTTTTTTGCGTGCGCGAAAACGTTTTAAAAATTGTATATCGCCCTTTGATCGACTGAAACTGCTTCATTCACTGAAGTTCCGTAGCTACACCACGTTCTCATTGTGGCGAAGTGCGCTATCGGAAATCATAATAGTCGTCGCGTTAAACTTCCCTTCTCTCGCTCTTTCTCTCTCTCTCTCTAATTTCCCCGGACTTCATTACCTGTTCTTACATTATTCCTTGTTAAACACGAAACTCTCCTCGAGATATCTTCGGCGCGCGAAACGCGCTATTGTGCCTGTCTAATTATCGTATTATCGGTTTCCGGCAACGAGATTCGTTCGGATCCCTAGCAGAGGGAGATCAGGAAAAGAGGAGGAGGAGGAGGAGGAGGAGGATAAGGGGAACGTTCAGTCTTCTCCAAGCCGAGAGCGCATTTCTCTCGAGTGGACTGACCTACATTCGATCGGCAGGAAACGGATTTTGGAGCGCGTGCAATGTCCTCCCTCTTCCTCTTCGAGGATAGGGAGGACAATAATCGGGATGTTGTTATTTTTGCGATTATATCGCGTGAACCAAGTTTTCGTTGTTGAAATTCTCTGAAGCGTTCGTTTCTCACTTTTCGATGTGGGCGTGCAAACGTGACAAACGTGTTATGATAAAGGAAAGAAAACGTAGATGAAACTAATAAAAACGACAAATAACAAAAGAACACGTACATATATATATATATAGAGAGAAAGAGAATTAAACTTTTGCAGTCCAAATTCTTTTTTTCTCATTCCCAATTAGTCTGGTCTCCGAATTAATTTTAATTAGTGTCGAGTCGCGCACTCGACACACGTTGGCGCAATGATATGTGATATCGGGATTCGGAGTGCAAAGAGTTGAGAGGAAAAATATTTGTCTAAAAAATATGATCTTCTTTAAAAGTTAAATTGCAATAATGTGTAATAGGATTGAAAAGATTTAACGTTTCAGGATGTAAATTTACGTATTCGTTAACGAGATACGTTAAGAGTAACGTGACCTACTCAACGGATCAGCTCGAGTTTAACCGTCGGCGATTAATAAGAGAATCTGATCGTCACGGCGACGGACGATGGTTAATGAACTTTACGTTATCGTACATCCGAGAGTTTGCGAAGTAAAACAAAAGAAGCGTATGTATATATACACACACACACGCACACACAAAATATATACCGGAGAAATATATACCGGAGAAACTTATACACGTAATATTAAAACGTGTGGAAATACGTAAACAAAAAGTTGACGCAAACTTATTCCGTACGGCAGAATAATAACGAGGGTGATTTATCACATCGCATTAATACGAAAAAAGAAACGTCTGATGCTAAGATTCTCGGGTCAGTTTTTCTTTGTAAAACAACGAAAGGGGGAAAAAGAGAGAGAGAGAGAGAGAAAGAGAGAAAAACGAGAAGTGTGCCGTCGCGGCACTTCTAAGAGATGAAAGAGCAGAGCCACAGCCGCTGGCAATTTTCATGCGACGCGGTCTGTTTATTTCCTACTTATTAGTCTATTTATTTTCCGTTATTTGTGCATTTACTTCGAAGTAAATAATGCAAGTCTGAAGAAATCGGAAAATGCGAGAAAAATGAACATATTGTCGTTCCAACTCTGGCGCAGAGTAGTAGTCACGGTGATCCAACGCGAAATGTGCCGCCACATTCGCACTGGACACACGTACGTCTGTCAACTGGAATTGGGAGATCTGTACCTGGGGGTAATAAACGGGTGTTGTTCTGCCGACCGCGTTGGCATCACCCCGCATCGGCATGTTCGCGGAGGCAGTGGGCAGGTTTCTCGGGTTCATGGCGATCTCGGGACCGGGATGAATTCTCCTGACGCCCGCCGGGCCACCGCCGGCGGGTACCATGCTGCTGCTGGTGGGCGCCTTCACCATCCTGGGCCGCACCCCGCACGGCCACACTCGCGAAAACGCCGCGAATACGCACACCAGCTGGGCCTATCGATCCTACCCGCTTTTTCCCTCTCGAACGAGAGAAATGCGCCCGGGGGATGTGTGATATATCCCGCGAGCGACAGCCAACCAGCCAGCCTCCTCCTCGTAGACTATCTCGTCGGCGCGTCGTCTCGCGTGACGTTCATGATCGCGCGCGGGACAACGCGAGATCCACCACCACCACCACCACCACTACGTTTTTACGCGGCTCTCGTTTACTCGCGACACTCGCGCCTCGACGCGGATCCTCGTCGTGATCTGTCGTCGGCGAGTGTCCTGGCGATCCTGTTCTGCAGATCCGACAACGTCGAGCGCGACGACGACGATGACGACGACGACGACGACGACGACCACGACAGACCGACCGCGAGACGACGTTGGCAAAACGCGGACGCACGACCGAGGCGACGCGTCTCGGTGGTCCTCGCGAGACGCGAGGGATGACGTGCCCCAGTGTGTGAGCCGGAGAGAAGAGCGAACCGCCGTTGGGGTGGTGCGCCTGAGTCGGTGCGAGGAAGAACGCGTGTCGGGGTGGGTTTGGGGATATACACGGGAGAGAAACAAGGGTGGAGGAAGCTAGATAGCGAGATACGGAGGGGGATGAATGGAGGGAGTGGAAGCGTGGGAGAAATTGAGATGGGGGAAATCGCGGATGTTTGCGGGGAAAAGGGGAGCGATGATGACGGGGCGACGCGGTAGGGGTATTTGTAACCTTCGCTCTACTCTCGACGCGTGTATTCGCTTTTATATGCCGCACACACGGCACCCTCTCGTTACACTCTCTTCTTTTTTACAACATCCCTCCTCTCTCTCTCTCTCTCTCTCTCTCTCTCTCTTTCTTTCTTTCTCTCTCTTTCTCTGTTAGGCGTATTAATATCGTGATATTTATCTGTGTCGCGCGTTTAATGTCGATAGAGGATGAGAGCGTTATAAATAGAACTTCGCCGATTATTTTCAAAGCGCGATGAACTCTGCCGGACTAATTAACGACAATATTGCAGTTATCCTGCTGAAAAATTCTATAGCGGACGGATCTTGATTTTTCTTCTTTTTCTTTTTTTTATTTTTTTAATCAATACGACTGCATAAAAAAGAATTTCTTTGTTAATTGGCTGGGCAATTAAAACGACGTTCTAGTTTTCTCGTTCTGACAATTGACAAAAAAAAAATATATATATATAAGTCCGAAAAATATCCCAAAATATGAATTCTAAGATATAAATGTAAAAAAGCCCTGGAAGAATAAAGAATTTTGTCTCTTCCGTCTGTGTATATATATTTTTTTGTTTAAAACATATATTTCTTTCGAAATAATTAGTCGAACAATAAGCAGACCGTAATAACGCGTGCGTTGTTGCTGCGTAATCAAAGGTAAACCAGGAAATGAACGCGAGAAACGTTTCGTTCTGTGGGCACGTGCGCATATGGGACAATGGCATTAGCTAAAGAGGGACGTCGCGGAGGGTGGCAGAAAGAACGGGAGAAATGGGAGATGGGAGGGGAAGAAAGATAAAAAAGCGACATGTTAAACATACTGGCACGTCGCGGCGGTGAATGAGAAGGGCGCAGCGAAAAGAGGGTTGGCGGACGCGGGTAAGAGAAGAAGATAAACGAGATGACACAGTTGCAATATTGAAAAGACAAGCCGGACGCGTGCTGGCACGGCGGAATGAAACAAATATGACGTCATAGACGGGCGTCGTTCTATCCTTTAAAGCCGCGTACGCCCACGTCTCATCCTTGTGCATACATGCGCGGCGTGCGGAAGTACCGACGCCCACAAACAACACCGCGAAGCCGGTCCCGACGATCGGGCCACGTCACGTCGGGACCAGATGGAGCTCCTCTTCGCGTTCTTCCGCCGTCACCCTCTTTGTCACGGCGCCGGAACTACCCCGTAAACTTCGACCGACATGATCTCAATCAGATAATCGAATCTCGGGATTCGTCTTGGGATTTCTTTTGTTTTTAATTAAGAATATGTAGTTTGTGAATCTATTTAACTCGCAGAAAAAAAATTCAAATCAATGACATTTCGACCCTTATTTTTTTTCAATTACAGAAAGTTTCACGCAAACTCCAACGACATCGTTTTTTATTTTAGTATTTTGAAAAAGTTCTTCGTTTTTTTTTAGCACAGATTTTTTGTGTTTCGAATATTTAAGCATCTGTACGATATAAAAATACAAAATATTATGCAAACTAATGTAATAATTGTATAAAAATGTGTGGTTTTTTCCCTGTACACTGGATTTGTAGTTCTTCAGTTGAAGCAGAGAGGTCGCAAGCACGGCAAATGGATGCACATTTTATCTGATGTGGCATTGATACAGATCTCTTATGTACCGACAAGTTTTGCAACAACAATAAAAAAAAAATTGTATAAAATTTCATTTTTGTTTTTAATCGACGATAAAACGAAGTAACATCAGACGAGTTTGAATTGTAAAAACAAACAACTGGGTATCGAGCGAGAACGAAGCCGTGTAAATTCAAAAACGAGCGCGTTTCGCGCGATGAAATTACATCGCACGCGCATTTGTTACGCACACAGCGCAAACGATACGCGTCAACGATACAAAAATAAAAAGTACGAATGTGCATATGTTTGTTTTTTAACGTGGATTTCAGCGAAGATTTCAAATTGTTCTCGTCTGTTGCGTGACTTTGCATTCTAAATTGAAACAACGACGAATTCGAACGCCGTGTGCGCTCCGTGCCGCGCAAATAAACACGCGCGAATTTATAGAACTAAGAAAGCTCGCGGTATATACGCGTGACGCGGGTCATTCCTTTTTACCGAACATCTCATGGTTTCGCGCAATCATCGAATAGTCGTCGGCAAGCGCGAACGCACTTCGCGCGGAATACACTTGGCGAAGTAGCTCCGTGAGATACATATTTTGACAGATCTTTGGCGAAACACCGTTTCCCGGTTTAAATTGATGCTCGATATTTTCACAGAAAACCTCGCGGCTAAAGTGAGTAAAAATACAACCGCGTTTCGCGAGAGATCCATTTAACGACCGTGCAATAATATTATTTATCACTTCCTTGCGCGTGCTGAATTACATCTAATTAAAATTTTTACAAGCTTCATCTCCGCAATAAATTCTCGTCTCGGTTGTATGTGTCTACTCGGTGAGGGAAAAAGCCACGGCGCGGAAGGCGATAAAAATGAAAGACGGAAGATGGAACGATCGAGTGACACTGAATGTGGGTGGCGTTAGACACGAGACGTATAAAGCGACGCTAAGAAAAATCCCGGCGACCAGATTATCGCGGTTGACGGAGGCATTAGTGAATTACGATCCCGTGCTGAATGAATATTTTTACGATCGGCATCCGGGCGTATTCGCCCAAGTGCTTAATTATTATCGCACGGGGAAGCTGCATTATCCCACTGATGTGTGCGGCCCACTTTTCGAGGAGGAGCTGGAGTTTTGGGGCCTCGACTCGAATCAGGTTGTTTCGTGTTTTTTTTTTTTTTACAAAATAAAAAATATTACAATACCGACCTCTGAGTTTACGAGGAAGGAGGAATAAAAAAACAACACGTTTTAAAAATAGAAAGATCGCATTTTCTTCTTCCTCAAATTTCTGTGTAAATTCTTTCACGCCCACGCACTCCCGCGAGGACCTGCTGCGAATTTCAACGAAACGGTAAAGAGAAAAAAAAATTCAAACACTCGGCGGCCTACATAAAAAACGACACAATGTATCAACGTAAATCGATCATGCGTCGCTCGCAAAGGTACTTTAATAAAGTTCCTTAATTAAGTTGACTTTCTGCAGGTAGAACCGTGTTGCTGGAGCACGTATAGCGTTCACCGGGACACGCAAGCCACCCTGGCGATTCTCGACAAACTCGACATCGAGGGCGAGAAGCTCGGCGACGAAGAAATCGCCCGTCTATTCGGATTCGAGGAGGAATATTACAGCGGGAATCTAACCAGATGGCAGAGATTACGATCGCGCGTTTGGATTCTCTTCAACGAGCCGTGCTCGTCCACGACCGCCAAGTGCATCGCCTGCGCAACGGTGTTCTTCATTTGTCTGTCGGTTCTTTGTTTCTGCGTGAAGAATCAAACGCCGAGATCGCTGACGAAAAGCAAGCACGAAGACACGCGGGACGATCGCACGGATAACACGGCTATCAATTCTCATCGGGCGTTTTTTTATCTGGAACACGCGTGCAACGCCTGGTTCAGCGTCGAGATAGCGCTTCGCTTTATCGTACGATTGTTATTTTTTCATTACCGTCGCATACATGTATATTTATTATGTAATCCGTAATTGCGTCCAACAAATTTTGATGAACATTTAAATTTTGCAATTTAAATTCCATTTCACACGAAACAAACACAACGTTCGTTCGTCTCAATGGCTCCGCAACGACATTTCTAATTGGCGATCGATAAACTGAAATTGTGACGTGGCGCGACACATGCCCGAACGTATACGTGAGATGTGACAACGTAACCGAATTGCAGGTAAGCCCCAGCCTGAGGCGTTTCGTCATGTCGCCGGTCAATCTGATCGATCTGGCGGCAACGATGAGCTTCTACACGGAATACCTGGCGAAGCCGAATCTTTACGTCGAGCTGTTGTCGGTGGCGCGGGTCCTGCGACTGTTCAAACTGACGAGACACTCGCCCGGACTCAGAATCCTCATACACACCTTCAAGGCATCCGCGAAGGAGCTCGGTCTGCTGGTCTTCTTTCTCGTGTTGGGAATCGTGCTCTTCGCCAGTCTCATATTCTATGCCGAACGCCTTCAGGTATGCGTTTCATGAAGATGGAGGAATTAAACATTCATAAATTCCATGTGGACAAAGGAATTAAATATTTCAAGGACGCGAGTTTTTCGATAGGCGGTTTTGCTATAAACCGACAAGAATTTTGTTTTTTTTTACAGCGAAATCTGCGGGGAAAGATTCGATTTTTAGAAAAAAAAAACCGCGCTCGTTAAAATTTCGCGCGTTCTCTGTTACAACATCGCTGGCTGAATATTATCTGCGCGACATTGTTATAATAATAAAACGCACAAATAACAAAACGTCTGTTTGTTTTAATTTATTTGTGCGTTTGTGGATTTCAATTTTTCAGGAAAATCCCGACAACGATTTTGACAGCATACCGCACGGTTTGTGGTGGGCCTTGGTCACCATGACCACAGTAGGTTACGGCGATATGGCACCGAAAACTTTTCCCGGCATGTTCATCGGTGCGCTGTGTGCTCTCGCCGGTGTTCTTACTATCGCGCTTCCGGTTCCGGTCATTGTCAGCAACTTCTCCATGTTCTACTCGCACACGCAGGTGCTCGGAATATCGTATTATCAGGTTTTTTCGATTATTCATTTCACATATGTTTAATTATTTATTTCACGTGTTTTTTCAAACGCGATTTATCGCTTCGTTACATACATCCGGTCGCGATAACATCAATAATATCGCGTGTTGTTTTCTTCTATTTAACGCAAGAATTAAATTGCGCAGATTTTTTTTTTTTTTCAGGCGCGCAGTAAGCTGCCGAAACAAAGACGAAAAGTCGTACCCGTTATTCGAAGGCGATCGAGGTCGCCGTATCAGAGTTACATTGACAGCGAGGATCTTCTAGCGAGTTCAACTTCTAATTCAATAATAGGTTTAACGCCCCGATCAGCCGCCGCTGGACTAGAAAACGTGCTGCAATTACAGGTGAAACTGGATTACGTAAACCGTAGAGATTGCTCGTAAACTTCACTCGTTTGCGATAACTCGATTAATCGCGCGAGTGATAACTTTTGTTATTAATAAAATCTGTCCGCGCAATTTATTGTTACAGCCCAGCTTGGCAATGAACTTATCGGAGATACACACGGGTGCAAAATCCGAGAGAACGGCCGTTTCAGCACCGAGCAGAACTTTCAACAGATGTGAGAACAACGCGATTGACGATCATTTTGACGATCAAATGTCCGTTCGACGGGATTTCGAAAACAACGTGTCTCCCCCGAACCTGCTTCTGACACCTTTATAATTATGTCGGAAAATAAAGACAAAAAATGTGTCACGTTCGGTAAAAAAAAAAAAAAAAAATAAAACGCAATTCTTTGCGGCGACAAATTAGATTTTCGTTCGAAAATATATGAGATAAATAATTAAAAAGAAACCCGATGCGTCGAAAAAAAAAAAAAAAAAGGAAAACGTTTTTTTCTTGCGAATTGACCAAAGATTTATAATTTCATCCTCTTAATTACGAGAAGCTCGGAAGTCGAGTCTGTAATAATTTTCGACGACCGAAAACTCTTCGAGAATCTTCGAGTTAACGAAGGAAAACTGTTCTCGGGAGCGGAAGATAAGCATCATCTTCGGATTATCGAGCGTTAATCTTCTTTGGCGTGAAGTGCGGTTGATGGGCGAGTGTCGGGGGTTGTTTTCGCGTCGTGAATTCGGCATATACGAGTCGAGGCAAACGTCTCTCTCTCTCTATCTATCTATCTATCCTCGAGTGGCATCAGCGCGCAAGCGTAAGCCATCGACCGGTGGAGAAATTTGCTTGAGAGAAGCGACGACCCTACTCGAGGCAAGCAGCCCACTCGGGGTGGCCTCGGGAACGCACTTTGTGATCCACACGTGAGACGCGTGTAAAACACGACACTTTGTATGCACGCACGGAACCCTCCTTCTTTCCCTTTTACTTCTCTTTTTGACCGACGTTTTCCGGTCTCTTTTCGTCATTGAACTCCGGTGTCGTTCGCCGTAATCCGGCTGCTTTCCGCAGCGACTGCCGCTATCTTCTGGTTATATATCCGCGGCTTTGCAGCTTCAACTTGTGCGTTCAGATGGTTCGTATAGATTACAAGAGAGAGAAGTTGCGCGTAAAGATCAAAGCCACGCGTCGGCAAACAGCGTCGCACAATGAAGGTTCATCTACGAGAGAGTTTACGTCTCCTTTCCCCGGAGCGGAGAAGCTGAATATTGCAAAAGACCTTTTCTACGAAACGGTCCTAAACGATCTCACAACCCCACCGATTCCGTTGAATATCTTTCTCCTGCGAGAAGCCTGAGAACTGTTTGTCTTTTATAATGCATTTAAAGAGCGCAATTTAAACATGTCACACAACACAGACCGGGGGTTGTTTTCCCGTCGAAACGTCTTGTGTGTACATCAAATCGCCCGTCGAATCGATTATCTGGTCGAGTGCTCTTTAACGAAACCGTAACTCGAAACTTTAAGAGAGATATAAATGCGAAATTTTCCTCCATCCGGCGAGAGAGAGTGTATTACACACGTATATATATACATATACATCGCACACAATCATTTGTCGTGAATATTTCAATCTCGCGATTTATTAATAGAAATCTCAATAATAGAAACGTTGCCTACGCGGCGCAATTTTTTTTTCCACCACCATCGCTTGATTTACGAAGGAGTCGATGACGACCGGAGGGTTGACCGAGATAAATGCGCGGATTCGATATGCTTTTCCCTACCCCGTTATCAATACGCGGCGCGGGAACGCGTGTTGCGCGGAACAGTGAAAAATGATCCGCCGACCTTTTGGCAAGTCAATAAGACACATGTGCTCGACGCGTAAACACAATTTGTTTTTGCCGCAAATTAAAAAAAAAAAAAAAAAAAAAAAACTGAAAAATTGATCGCATTTCTCACGATCTTGGGGAATTTTTTTTTCTCCCCTTTCTTCGCGCGCATTTACGTCGCAAGGTCCAGAGCGGAGATGAGAAAAAGGCAGGACCGAAGAGAAGGGAGGAGAAGAACTGAAGAAGAGAGGGAGAAGTCAGGTGTTTTACGAGCTATAAAAAGCAAAACGACAAGGGAGTCACTCCGATTATTCCCAGGAGTTTTGACCGCCCGTCAACGTTGAAAAATCTCGCGGAAAACATATTGAATCAAAGAGAAAGTTCGCGCGACACAAGAAGACCCGAGTCGCGTGATCTGACGAAACAAGAAAAGAAGGGGGCAGGGGAAAAAAAGAAGAAACAGAGAGCTCGCGCAATCGGCTTGGTCGCGTCAGACTCCCGGGAATTTTTTTACAAGTCGCGTGATCTTGAATCGTGAATGTGCCGGCCTTGGGGGAGGGGGGAAGAGAGGGGGTGAAACGGGCGACGGGTTAATTCCGGAGACGAGGGATGTGATACTAAATGATACAAAGGAATTGACGATAATCCTGAATTTCTCAGGCACGACCGCGAATCTTATCGTAATTCGATATCCGATGACTTCAATTTTACATACAGCGGACTTACGTCCTCGGTTTAATGAAAGAAGAGAGTCTAATCGCGCAATCCTATCCACTTATTTTTAATGCGCTTCTGCAGAAATACACGAAAAAGATTGTTAAAACTTTAGCAAATAATAAAAGATTTTTTTATACGCGAGATAGAATTTTCGTGGTTTAGGCCTTTGAGAACTAGACCTTGCCACGTAGTTCAGCTTCTTGACACCTCGATTGATTTTTCTCAACACAATGCCGATATGTGATTGATATTTTTAGATGTTGCAGAAAGTAAACACAACATACAGAGACCCGCGAACAAGCGAGCCGTGAAATTATTCGAAACGCGTCGTGACGATCGTCGAGCTCGAGCAAAATCCGGGGTGGCAATGCGATCTCCCGATGAGAGACGCGAACTCGTTAATCCTGAAGATGATTTTAAGTCATCATCTCGGTCACCAAGTTCGCCCAACTCGAGGGCCACTTGGTCTCGTCGCAACGCGCTTCGGAAACGCGCTTCGAAGCGGATGCGCGTGCTCACCCTCCGCACGCCGTCGCCGTCGCGACGTCCTACCCCACTCTGACGACGACGACGACGCCGCCGCCGTTGTCCCTCGTCGGCAGATACGTCGCTTTCGTTCGAGATCAGTTCCGTACGCGCACGAGCCGCAACCAAGCCGTCCTTGGGTGCACCTCGTCTCGTTCGTTGTGTCACGGAGACGACGCGAGCCGGCGACGACGATGTGCCACCGTCTACGATGGTGTCGGGTGGCGCCGCGATGAAGGTCTGACCGAAGCCGCCGATGATCCATTCGCGAGCACGGCGACGGGGAAAACGCCCTCTGCGACCGCGGCGCGTTCCCTGCCTGACCTGACCTTTCGCCGGAGAGAAAGAAAGAGAGCGAGAGAGAGAGAGAGAGAGAGAGAGAGGGAGAGAAAGAGAGACAGCTAGAGGGAGAAAGAACCGAGAACGAAAAAAATACGGACTTTGCTCGCGCGAGCACGGGACGTAGCGCGCAGAACGACGACGTTAACATAGTGCCTATCGCGTGCGAGTTTCGCCCGTTGAACTCGCGGTGTTACCCCTTCGCCGAAGCGCCATCGTCACAGCGACGACATGGAGAATGCGGTGAACCGGAGCAGTGCCGTCGAGATGTCGCGGAAGAACTCTGAGACATGAAGAGATCGCGACTGAGGGTGGGTATATCCCGCGAATATTCTCTATCCGAACAAACTCTTGAGGATTTTCACCCCGCGCGAGGGATAAAACGCGCGGCCGAAACGTGTCCATCACGAGGGTTTCTCTGCGAGGATACTCAAGGGATACTACAAGACACTACAGATTTACGAGCAACGTGTTCGCGGAGAAGATTGGGTGGGA